TATATATGGGGGGGGGTGTATGTATATAATATACTTTTTATCCCTTCTCAGCCATGTGAGTAAGTTGTTTGCCAAGATTCTAAGGAGGAGAATTAGACCAATTATTGAGACAACTCAGCGAAGCCCAGTGGTGCTTCAGGAAAGACAAGGGCTGTACTGACGCTATTTTTGCATTAAGGTGGTTGTGTGGGACTGCCATTGTACATGACAAAGACCTCAACATTGTCTTCGCGGACCCAGGAAAAGGTGTTCGACCAGGTAAACAGATGTCAACTTTGGAAAGTCTTAGTGGAGTGGTTTAGAAAGACAATAACTGATAGAGAACATCATGGCACTTTATAGAAAAGCAGCCAGTGCACCATAAGGTCAACAGAGAGACTATCGGACTGGTTCCCCATCAGGTCAGGGGTGAGACAAGGGCTTGTTCTCTCTTCGCTACTCTTGATCACTTACATTGGATAAGAACACGAAAGCAGCTAATGACAACATCATTGAACGGAACGAGCTTCTATTTGCTGATGACCAGGGTATATATTAAATACAGATGGAGAGGAATTACAAAAACATACAGGAAGACTAAAAGAGGAATACGAACACCTAAACATGAAAATCTCCATTTTAATAACAGAAGTCGTGATGGTCAATAGAAACCCAGAGAAACTCAACATCTTTATTGATAGAACACAACTCCAACAAGTAGAGGAGTAATTATATTTGGGAAGCATCTTCACACAATTTTTTAGTTGGGTGTATGGATAAAGAGATAGAAACAAGAACTAAGAAGGCAAATGCAGTGACCTACCAGATAGCACCCCTGCTCAGCTACAAAAACATCCAAATCAAAGTGATATCCCAGCTTATCAATACAAGTATCTTCATACCAGCCTTAACATACCAGTGCCAAACATGGTCCCTAAACCAAACGCAAGAAAGTTAAACCAATGTACGCGAAATGAGGTTTCTCCGCAAAACCATCAAGGTCACCAGAAGAGACCGCTTAAGAAACGAGACCATACGCCTACAAATCGGAATACCACCAGTAATACTTTTCATTGAGCGTCAAAGAGTCGAATGGTTTGGACATTTAATTAGAATGCCGCAAACAGCTAGCTGCAAGAGCTTATCACTCCCGTGAATCTGGCTTCAAATCAAGAGGAAGACAAAGAAGGACCTGGCTGGATGGGGATAAAAAGGTCCTGGAACAACATAACATGTCTATCACAGACACTTAGCACCGGACCGAAACTTGCACCTCCCCTCGACATCACAAGGATACCAGAGGAAGGAAAGGGGGAAATTAATAGCATTAGGATACAGATTGAACTATCCCAATAGTCGTATAGTGAGGAGAACTCTTAGATATACAGAAAATATAAGTTAGTTCTAGAGAAGGACCATTTCATGCAAAAATAAAACTGTATAACACACCAAACGAGTAAATGATGGCCAGCTGAAAACAATTCTAAGAAGTGATAGAATCATTTTTCAGGGGGGGGGGGGATTTATCTATTATTGATTTATTTGGGTTTTTTAAATTTATTTATCCATTTTTTGCTTGTTTGTCTATTTATTTTCTTAGAGCAACTTTCCTCTTGAACAACAAATTTTTTAAAAACAAAAAAACTGGCCATTTCATTGTTTAGAATTTTTCAACAATTACAACCGTCGTGGCACTTGTATTATTCACGAAATGGCACAGATGCAGTCCACAAATTTTGACTTCTAAAAAAAACGGAAATGTTTTAATCAAATAAAATTGAGAATGGAAGTGTTTATACACAGGGGACACGAAGTTCTGGAACACCAGCTGAGAGATGCGTAATGGAAAGAGTGGAAGTTACTAAAAATTCGTAGGTGTCTCGAACTGTTAAGGTCTGTTTTCTTGGTCAGCCATCCGCTTCACCCACTAAAGTCGAGCTGTGAGGCTAGACGATCTATCTGATTGAAAACGGTTTCTCTTTTTATAGAATAAATGTTGAAGTAAAATGGTTTCCCTTTTTCTCATAAAGGAGCCTCTTGGTCTTCTTAAATTGAGAAGAAAAACTTAACCCATTGGGTATAAAAGAACCTCGAAAATGCTTAAATTGCTATTCTTCCAAATAAAAGAAACAATTTCATAATTTGCGGATAAATTACGTCCCAGCTAAATAGGCCCAGATGGTTCTGAACAAGAATCAACCAAGCCAAAGCTACCAACCGTTTAGATATACATTGCCATACCAAATTAAGAAAAAGGTATGGGGCGTGGGTGGGGGGGGGGAAGAGAGGAGAGTCATCAGAGGAAGAGAAATATAAGGAGAGAGGAGAGGGGGGGGGGTGAGGTTAGCATACTATACACTAAAATTGGGTCTGCAATTATTTGAAACGTTCTTAAAATCCATTGGAAAAAAGAGACAGGGAATAATTTGAGTAATTTGACAGATATCACGAGCCTTTTATCTGTCCACCACCCTCCCCCCTAGTCCATCTGTAACTCTTCTCCCCACTGTCCACCCTTTATCTGCAGCAAACTCTCCACCTCAAACCCCAACCTCTCATCCCTGATCAAACCCCATTCTCTATTTTTCCTTTTTACTTATATTTAGACCCAGTCAACACCACCTCCCAGAAGAATACTACAGAAATAACACAATCAGACACACACACACACACACACACACACACACACACACACACACACACACACACACACACACACACACAAACGTCCTGAAAAAACTGCTCGGCCTTCGAAATAACTAATCATATTATATTTTGTGATAATTTGTCGGACGGTACACTAGAACCGAGCCACGCTGTGTGCAGTAAACCTTTGATTCTCTGTCATGACAATGGAGCGTGTAGGAGCTCTGAGGTTGGAATTACGTAAGTAGCATTCCACATTTTTATGAAAGAATGACCGTCTACGGTTTAAAAAAAAGTTCTTTGCTATTATTTTTAAAAGGTAATATTCCATTTATCCATTTAGTTTTTGTCTTGAACGCCAAATGACTCACAAAAAAAAAATCAGTTTGTTTCCGTCTTCTGTAAAATTTGCCTTATGTAGAATTCACGATTTCATCAGGTGACGTACCTTTCTATGACCCCAGCGAGGTATGCCAAAGATTTTTTTTTAAATGGCATTTTAGGGACTCAAACTGTGTTGACCACTACCTTACACCGCATGCCTTTGGCATGAATTTCTAGGGTATATGCAACACTGGAGGGCAACCAAATAAAGAAATTTTCAGGTGGTTTATCGCTGTCATCTTATGTGGCCAAGGTGACATAATAGCATCTTTTTTCATTAAAAATTAAACCCCTATTCGTTTCG